TAGTTCAGCCAAGACTTCCTAGAGCCACACCTGGATCAGGAATTGCTACCGCCTAGTCCTGCCAAGGCTGGGATTGGTATGGGATGGATGGAGAGAATTGATACGTGATGGATACAGAATTGATGTGGGATTGGTATGGGATTGGCATGGGGTGGATGGGGAGAATTGATATGTGGTGGATACAGAATTGATGTGGGATTGGTATGGGATTGGCATGGGGTGGATGGGGAGAATTGATATGTGGTGGATACAGAATTGATGTGGGATTGGTATTGTTGATCCATGATTCATACCTGACTTCTATGACTTCCTAGCCACAAAGGGACTGTTCCTCCCAGCTCACTCCCTCTGTGCTGTCCCTCCCTGCTGCTCACATGTGTCTTCCCTCTCTCTCTGCAGAGTACATTCAGAAATATGCAACAGAAGAAGCACTAAAAGAGCAAGAAGAAGGCACTGGGGACAGCTCCTCCGAGAGCTCCATGTCCGACTTCTCGGAAGATGAGGCTCAGGACATGGAGTTGTAGTAGAAGAGGTCAACCTGCTTTTCAGAGAGACTCTAATTTCCTAACCATGAGAAGCAGACTATAATATTCATATTTAAACAAAGCAATTTTTTTTATTACTAAACAAGGTTTTTATGAATAATAGCATTGAGATATATCTATCACCCTTTAGATCTTGATTTTTTTTGGGTTTTTTTTTTTTCTTGGTCATTTCTCCACCCCAAGGTGCATAGCATATTCCCACATTCCATTTTGGTAGCAATATGCAGCCCTAAGTGCATGCATTGAGATTCCACTTGGCCAAGGCAACTTTGTGTGCTACTGAACTGTCAGCTCCAACCAGCTGCACTGGGAGGGAAGGAGGGAGCAAAAAAAAAAAGAACGGAAGAAGAAGTGTTTTGCTTTCTTCTGCATGTTTCCAAAGACACCACCTTGGATGCTCACCTTGGAACATCTTGGGGGATGGTAGAACCATGTAGACAAGACAGTAGGTGCTCCTTCAAGTCAACCTTCCGATGGTGTTTTGAGGGGAGTCACATCAGCAAAGAGAACAAACGAGTGTTGGAGCTCCTCAACTGAAGCTTAAAGATGTTGACTTGGGTTTTCTCTGTGGCCTCCTGCCTGCCCCTTTGGAAGTGGAGGAACTGACAACCACTGGGCTTTGGGGACTTTGGGAAGCCTTCACTTGGATGTTGGTCACTTGGCTCAGGCTGGATTACAGCTTGTTCCCTTGTTGGGAGGAAACCAACCCCCCCGATGATGCTCTCTTGAACAGTGCTTGGATTTAGCTGGAGCACATGTGAAGTCAAAACTCTTCCTCTGTCCTCCTTTGGAACCTGCTGCCCTTGAATGGCTTCGAGTTGGCTTTTATTTTTGCCTCTTTTTGCTTGGAATATGGTTAAACACCTTTGCAGACACTCACCATCTCCTGAGAGGTTCCTCTGACCACATGGATTTAGCCTTGCTGAGAGCTTCAGCCCCACGAAGATTGGCCCTTTGGCTCTTATCCACAAATCCATCAGCACTGAGTTGATTTTCCTGGGTTTTTTCCTCCCCCTTTTCTGCACCATCTGCTTGTGTGTGTACAACAGGCTTCAAATTCCTTCAAAGTTAAAGAATATGATCTAGTGATTAAAAAAAACCAACAACAACAAAAAAAACCAAAACAATTTGAGATGAATAAAAAAAGCCTAAAAAAAAAAAGCTCCAATTGAGGAAGGAAGTGAATCTGCTCTTTGTTTTTGGTTGGGGGTTGCTTTGCTTTGCCCCAGCATGCTTGTTGGAATGTTGGATTGCTCCTGCAGCAAGCTGAGCTGTTTGTTCCTAGCAGTCCTGCTGGAGGAAGTGTCCACCTGGGATGTTGGGATACTTGGATTTGGGCTAACTGTGCATTGGAGATTTGAACTTTGAGTTGGATTTTTTTCAAGCTGAATGTTACTGCTGTATTCTTTTTGGGGATTTGTTTTTTGGTTTTTGTTGGGGTTTTTTTGGTTGTTGTTTTTTTTTTTTTTTTTGTGGTGTTGGTTGGAAAGGGTTTGGACAAGAGGATTTCATTTGTGGTACAACCTCCAGGCCAAATCAACCCACCCCCCTGAGCAACTCTGGAGCAGAGTTTGGAATGTCACATTGGGCCATTTGCCTTTTTCCCTCTTGATTTCTTTGGGCTTATTTCTGTTTGTTTTCCCAAACCAAACCCAAGTTGGACTCATTGGACGATCCCAACCCTCTTTCCTAAACTCCTACAGCACAATCATTTGGGTTTCTTTGGCTTGTTTGGAGGGAGAAAAACCAACTCCATCAACCTCCACTTTTGCTTTAGCATGGATTTTCCTCAATAAAAACCTCCCACCAAGTTCCTTTCTGTTAATTCCAACCACAGAGCAAAGCTTTGCCCTCTCTTTTTCTCCTTTCCTGAGCAGTGATGTTAGGGCTGTGCCTAGTGACTGTGCTGAAGTTCTCTTTCTAGCATTTGTGGCTTGTTGGAGGGTAATATTAACTATTTAACATGTAATGGTGTTAATTAACTCTTATCTAGCTGTTTGCTCATTAATTTGGGGAGGGAGGGGCCACGTTTTGGGCACTGGTTTTGCTTTCCCTGCCGCCCTGGCAGTTTGCTTGTTGCTATAACCTTTACTTGTAGGTGCTACTTAGGAGTAGAGTTCAGTGCTGGGTGGTGATATCAGTTGGGGAAAAAAAAACACAAAAAAAAACCCACAAAAAAAGGAACAAACAAAAAATCCTCAAAAACAAAAAAACCTACCCCCAAAAAAAAATCACAATAAAAATTTGTATTTTTTCAATATTGTATAAAAATTAGTCTTCTAATTCCCTCAGCTCCTTTGGAGGTCTTTTTTTCTCCATCACTTTCAGGGTCTAATGTGGATGAAGGGCAGTAAATTTGTTCAGATGGTTCTTCGCTTCCTTTTGGGAAGTGCTAAATGGGATTCCCAACACAGAGTGGGAAGCTGCAGCTGGTCCTGTCCTGGTTTGAGGGTGCAGGGGAGCTTCTCCAAGCTGAAGGTTGGTGGTTCAACAGCTCCAGAGCCACCAAACTGTGTGTTCCTGGTGCTTCCTGACGTTCCTGAGCTGTGGCAAACTCCCTGTGTCCATCCTTGGAGGAAAATCCAGGTGCCAAAATGAGATGTCCTGGGTGAAGGTGCCTCAGGGCACCTTCAGATGAGCTCTGCAGGTGAGGTGAGCTCTGCTTCTCCTGCCCCTCTGCTCCTTCCCTCCCGCATTTTCCACCTCCATGCTTTCCCACTTCCATACTTCCCAAATTTCCTTCTTTCTCCCCAAAAAATATCTCCCCCCCCAAGCAGTCTGTGAGTAAAATTACACCAGCACCATCTGGACCAAAGGTTAGAGCCATGTGGAAGCAACAGAGCTCTTCTGTGGTCATCTTTAGGGTTGGGTTCTTCTTCCTCACCAAAGAGTGTTGTTGGCACCTTGGGAATTCCTCAGATGGATCCTGGATTGAGCTCCCACTGCCACAGCCCCTCAGTGTTGTTTTGGGCTCAGCCTTTGTTTTCTGTCCCTGGAATCTCTCCTTATGTCACTGAGGGGTTGTGTGACCTGACCTGAGTTGATGTTGTCCCTCCCTGGTGGCACTTGGGTGGTTGATGACCCTTTGCTCCGAGTTCTCCCTGATCCGCAGGTTGGTTTGGTGAACGCTGGTGCAGAACAGACTGGAACAAACCTTTCCATCCCTGGAAGGATGAACAGTCCTCCGTGGTCGAACTCCAGTTCTTTCCCTGCCCATCCCTCCACACATGCTCGAGAGAGACATCTCCCCTTCCCTCCCCCTGGCAGGAATCCTCCTCACAGCCCTTCAGGAATTCTGGAATGTGTTTGACCAGATTTTCTCTTTACTTTTTGCTTGTTTTGCTGTTTTTTGTCCTCCTCCCCCTGCTGCTGCCCCCTTGGCAGTGGTGCTGACAGCATGAGCCATGGCCATGATCCTCCTGCCCACATTTGCTTCCTGTTACGTGAGACTTGAGATTTCAGGGTGTTTGGGCTTTTTTTTTTTGGAGTCAATTCTTCCTTATTTTTCTTTTTTTCCTCCTCTTTTCCTTGCTTTGGCTATAGAGTGAGCACTTCTGCCTCTTCTCTGCAGGTCCAACCACCTAAAAAGTTGTGTAGAATGAAAGAACTGTAAACTTTTTTTAAATAAAACCTGTATATACCTTGAGGTTTGGCTGCTGCTTCCTCACCCAGACCTTGCTCAAGCCCCGGGACCACGAGGCATTGACTCTGCATCCTGCCAGGACCATCTCTTTGCCCTCTATGGATCATCTACCACATCCATCGTGAGGCATTTTTCCACCTGGACATGACCTGCTGGAGGTAGTTGTGCACACACAGTGCTTTGGTGGTAGAAGGTTGGACTTGCTGATCTTGGAGGGCTTTTCCAACCTCAGTGATTCCCTCTCCCAGTGGTTGGGTGATGTCCTTCCATGCCCCACCACAAGCACCAAAGCTGATTTTTAGGGGTTTGGGCTGGAGATGTGGGATCAGTGCAGCCACAGGACATCCTTCCCTCCACCTCCATCGCAGTGTGGATCTCTGTCAAGGTGTCTTCTTGCAGCAGGTGATGCTGCCAGAGGTTGTCACAGCCACGGTGGGAGCAGTTTGGTGTCCTGGGACAGGAATTATGGCAGAGGTGGAAGTTTGCTGTATAATCACATGGAATTTTGGCTTGATGTTGGATTGGGATATTGTGTTCAGGGCATGTGACTGGGAGTGGGAGAAGCTCAAGGACCCCCAGGTGGGTGTTTGGGGGCTGTGGATGAGCCAGGGAAGGTGACAACAGCCTGGCACATGGTTTGTCCTCTCTCATCCTGCTCTCGCTCTCTGCAGTCACTTCCCCAATTCTGCTGGAGCTGAGCGAGACCTTCCTGCCCATCCTCCTCCATCCCAGGCTCTTCCAGCCAGGGCTGTTCACCACCAGCTTGGGGGACAGGGTGGCAGATCCGTGTCGTGTCAGTGCCACCTGCTGCCAGCGCCCAGCCTGGCACCCCTCAGCACCCTCGGGGACGCTGGGGACACCCAGCGAGTGGGACACGTCCCAGTGCCACCTCCTGGGGCCACCAACCCTCCGGCTCTGCCCCTTGTGCTGGGAACGGGGAGACAGTCCCGCACCCCCTGGCTGTGCCCACCCCTTCCAAGGGGGCTGCGGGGCCAGCCGGGGGTGGCACTGTCCCCTCTGCCCGGCAGGTGGCCCCAGTGTCACACCAGTAGCCTCCCAGTCTGCCCAGTCCAGATGAAGCTGCTCCCGGCGCTGGGTGCCCACCCTGTCAGTGGCTCCATCGCTGCTCTGTCCCCTGGGTACCCAGTGCCTCCCGCTGTGCCCAACCAGCCTCTCTCGGGGCAGTGAGTGCTGCTGGGGGATCAGTGCTGGGGTGACATGGGGACAGACACCCAGAGCTGGTGGCGGCTGCTGCTCGGTATCTCCAGGAGCACCCAGAGGTGTCACCCTGCCCTGTCCATGCCCATGTCAAAGGGCATCGAAGGGGAAAGCTCCAAGGCTGGAGCTTCCCTGAGATCTGGGTGGCATCTCACAGGGCTCTGGGTGACATTCCTATCCAGCTCTGGTTGCTGCCATCATAGGGCTTTGGGTGCTGTCCTCACAGGGCTCTGGGTGTCACCTCCAAGGGGGTTTGGGTGCCATCCCTAAGGGATTTGAGGTGCCATCCCCATGGTGCTTTGGTTGACATCCCCAAGGGGCTTTGGATGCCACTGGGCTCTGGGTACCATCCCTAATGGGCTTTGGGTGACATCCCCATGGAGTTCTGATTGTCTTTCCTGTGGAGATCTGGGTACCATCCCTAAGGAGCTTTGGATGACATCTCCACTGGGCTCTGGAAGCTATCTCCATGGTACTTTGGATGTCATGCCCAAGGGGCTTTGGGTGCTGTTTCCACTGGGCTCTGGGTGCCATCTCTAAGGGATTTTG